GGTCAAGATATTTACATGTTATCTGATTCATCTAAGTCTAAAATGCCATATAGTAGATTCTTTTCAACATAGTTTTCAATAACATTGAAAACTGTTTTGCTTTTGTTGAATTTTAACACCTTAAAACTTCACATGCAATTTTCTCGAAAATGCTCTTATAGATTTTTTTCAATTCTGCCATCATTGAGACAACTATGTTGTCCGAGATTCCGACATCATATTTCAAAAATTGTCCCCGACAGCAAGTTATTCTATGTCATGTAAAATGAGGTATGGCATCATTTTATTGCTATGGTAACTCAGATCCTGGTGAAATGTATCCCATTTGAAACTTTCATCTTTCTCAAGCACACCAGTAATGTTTGATTTTCTGTTGGATTGATAATGGTGATGTTCTAGTTGCCCAAAGTTGAACGGTATTGTTACTCAAAAATCCGATCGAGCCACCTTAACACTCTAATACATCAGCACTCACTCTGCATCTCAGTAGGATGCCTGTGGCAAAATCAAGCTACTGTCAAGAATTGCGAACAACCTTAAACTTGATCAGAAGAAGGCTCCTGGTGTAAGCGAGCAGATAGCCAAAATTGTCCATGGGTTACTGAGAGAAAAGCTTATGGACAAAGTTTTGACAGTGACACAGAATCACTATAACACACCAGAAAACTGTGAATGCCTCACAAGCATGAAGGTCAATCATCTTACCTGGGATAAACTAAAATCAGACTAAGGTCTGCTGATATCAAGTTGCACTGAATGCAATGTAATCTTGTCAAAGGGCTCATCCCTGTAGTTTCTGTTATTGAGGAACTTGTGAAGGCACGGGATAAAATTCCTAAAGATGCCTTGGATGTCCCAGAATTAATAAGAGTGGCAGGTGCTGCTAACTTCGAGTTGAATATGTGGCACAGGGACAACATCGAGCCTGCACTAAATGAAGACTACAAACATTTGTGCTCCAGCTCAGTACCCTTCACAGAATTCCTGTTTGGTAATGACACTGACTTATCTAAACGACTGAAAGATCTCGCGGAAGCAACCAAAGTTAGCAAAAAGCTAAACCTGAAAGCATAAGGCCACAAAAGCAATGGATATATGGGATACAAGCATGCAAAGTCCAAAAGGCTTTGGCTACAAGTATTCCTCACGTGGCCAAGGCACTTGGGCCATTAAAAATTTAAACTGGAAAAAACCTGGCCCCCATACACCAAGAAGGGATGAGGGGAGGGGGCCAAACAAGTAGGGCAAGAAAACCCCTCTATCAAGGTAAACAATGCATACATGTTATTGGCCGGCTGGGAGGTCTGTATAGGGAAAAACTGTGACTGAGGTCTTGAAAATGCATTTTCAAGCCCGAGGTCACAGTTTTTCACTATACGAACCGACCCTAAGCCGGACAATAACATGTTTATCTTTTTTTCTTGCAGTGAATTGGCTTACAAGTGGGTTTGTTTACGTAACTTTGTCATTGAATTGGCTTATGCGCTGTGCACAAACCAATCCTAAAAAAATCTAGCTAGCGAATGAGTGAGTAACTCAGATACTAGACAAGGTGAGATGTATTAAAGAACAGATTTATTTCGAACTACTTTATGTTAGTGGCATTTAGTTCACCAATTAAGTT